TGTCTCAGAAAATTTGAATATTGTGAAAAAGTTCAATATTGGAAAGTCATGGTGTCACACCCTAATCAGCTAATTACCTCAAAACACCTGCAAAGGTTTCCTGAGCCTTTAAATGGTCTCTCAGTCTGGGTCAGTAGGCTACACAATCATGGGGAAGACTGCTGACTTGACAGATGTCCAGAAGACAGTCATTGACACCCTCCACAAGGAGGGTAAGCCACAAAAGTTCTTTGCTAATGAAGCTGGTTGTTCACAGAGTGCTGTATCCAAGCATAAAAATAAAAAGTTGAGTGGAAGGAAAAGGTGCACCAGCAAGAATTTGGGTGAGCTTCACAAGGAGTGGACTGAGGCTGGCGTCAGCGCATCAAGAGCCACTACAAATGGAATGTAGTGCAAATAAATTCCTGTTCAATAGATGTTTTTCTAAAAAAAAAAAAGTCATAATAAGCATGTAATTAGATACAAAACACATGGAGTATTTCTGAAAAAATTAATGTGTAAATGGGTTAAAATGGGAACAATTTATTGATAATGTTTATGTATTTATATTATAACTATTTGAATGATCATACTTGAATATAATAAATATTAAATAAATATTATGTGTGCATATTTAATATTTATTGTAAATAAGTTATATTTAATATATCATATGTAAGAAATTATATTACGTATAATAACTTATTATATTATTTATAATATTACTACTATAACTACTTATTGTTATATTATTAATCACTAATAATTCATTTCATATAATATATTAAATATATATTATAATATTGTCAAATATTATATTATATTATTTATACTAATATTATTGTATTACGTTATTTTATGGAAGAACACCAGAATGCTCTAATGCAGTGTTTCCCAACCGGGGTGCCGTCTGTCGAGAGCAGGGGTGCCGTGTAAAAAAAATCCTTTTTTAATATTTTTAAATTGCTAAAATGTTCAAAAAAGCATCTATTATATAATATCCATTTCTGATGTCGCCAATAATTAGAGATGCACCGAAATTTCGGCTGCCAAAAATGAGTTCACCGTTCAGGTTTCACTTTGACGTGGTGTGACGCTCTGCGTATTATCCCGCTCTATGTGTGTGCGCTCCGCTCAGTCGCTCCACTCGTATACCGTTCATGCTCATCGGAACAGCAAAGTCCACTCAAAAATCGAGCCGACAGGAAACATTGATGTAGTACAGTATTGTTTCTGTCTGCAATAGCCCTACTGTGTTGTAACATGGTGTGGTAAATTGGTAACTCTGGTAACGCTGCCCTCTCATTCATTGATCTGCTAACCGCTATGTTATGCTCGCGAGTTCTGATAATAATAGCTTTCTAGGACTAAACATTATTTGGATAATTGGTAAAAAAAACTAAAAAAATTTAAATATCTTAACCCTACTGTTAGACCTACCTGAAAAACTAAAAAGCAATTTATTTAATTCGAAGGCCTGTCGTTATTTTTTATTTGTGCTATCATTATTAATTTCTTTATTTGTTCTTATTTTATTACTGACTGCTTACTTGTCATTTTTTATTCAATTCAAAGTTTGAATTGATCTCGTGCTACTGCACCAAAATTACCCCACTGTAAAATTCATCCTACCCTCAGACAGTCCTCAGTAATATGTATTAATATATATTATAATTCTAATATTATATATTTAAAACTAATATGGGTCAAAAGACATTTTATTTGTTGAATTCCTTGTTTTCTTGTGCTAATGAAACATAGTATATTTTAAATATTAAATATTCTACATTATATTTTATAGTCTTTGTTTTGTTACATATTTTCTAGGGTGGCAAACACAAGATTCTGGAGAAGTGCAATCTGCCTCTGACTGGAAAACAGTGTGTGGACCGTATAATCACAGAAAAGGTGGGTTTTGATTTACAAGAGCCATTGATTTGATCTTTTTAACATAGGAGACTACTTTAATCAACAGCCCTCACCGTGTCTAATCAGACTCTGTTGGTAAAGAATAAATGCAATCTATTCAGCAGCTTATCACTTCATCAATATACCAAATCAGCCTCGGATAAAACTTCAGTCGCCACAGTGGAAAGCTGTAAAAATGGCTTTGCTCTTTTCTCTTAACGCATGTGCAAAGACATAAGGAGACATGACGAATTGTTATGAAACTGCACATAAGCAGTGTAAAATGGAAATCCAATTATTGGGCCAACCCTAATCAAATCTCCTGATCGGAGTGCCATTACATATCGACTGTTTTTTTTTTTTTTCAAACCCAGAGCTCCATAATGTGAATGTTACCTAATAATATGATCAGACCTGCCACATGGCCTGTATTCGGAGAGCTGGGTGGTGGAGACTAAGGATTTGCTGTAGTCTCATCAAAGAGCCTTACTAGATGGTTCAGGGGCTCTTGACTGCTGCAGCTGTTCATACAGTAGCTGCTGGTTTTTATGGACTGCTGCTGGCACTTGTTGAGCCGACCTCTCATCTCGCCAGCGGTGTCACTGGACTGTATACACAGCAGTCTTTCTCTTCTCCTTACCTGTTAGTCTTCTGTTTCTCTTTGTATGCTTTGCCAGCGTCTGCTTTTGTAACAATTACACACCGTGGTTTCCAATGAAAGGATTCTGTCAACATTTGGAAAGGTTAGACCTCTCCAGCTACACTGCCACCACCTTCTGTTCAGCCTGCATTTGTCATGCTACCCTGCTGTTAAACACAACCCCTGTCTGTCAGCCAAACAAGCTGAGCTTTAAAGGTCCCCTGAAATGCTTAGAAACACGCAGCGTTACTCTGTGTTGACGTCATTTTTAACTGAAACAGGAAGACTGGGCGGGACATATCAAGCAGCCCCGCCCCTTTTTAAAATAGCCAATAGCGTTCGTTTATATCACAGCTTGGGCTAGAGCCGTTGAGCTCCATAAAGCCGCATTTGACAGGGTATGCCAGCCACAATATCATCCATATTGCTAAAAATATTGAGTTCTGTGTAGAACATACATTTTGTGGTCTGCGCCGACTCGCGCATGTGATCCGCTCTGTGCTATCGTGTCTCTGGACCGGAGCAGAGTGTGTGTGCGGTGCGGTGGTGAGAGTGACACAGCGCGAAACCAAACTTTTTTCCTCAATGGAAAGCATATTTACACTGTTTGAATCCTTCTCTGTCCACATAAGCAGTGTAAAATGGAAATCCAATTATTGGGCCAACCCTAATCAAATCTCCTGATCGGAGTGACATTACATATCGACTGTTTTTTTTTTTTTTCAAACCCAGAGCTCCTTAATGTGAATGTTACCTAATAATATGATCAGCCCTGCCACATGGCCTGTATTCGGAGAGCTGGGTGGTGGAGACTAAGGATTTGCTGTAGTCTCATCAAAGAGCCTTACTAGATGGTTCAGGGGCTCTTGACTGCTGCAGCTGTTCATACAGTAGCTGCTGGTTTTTATGGACTGCTGCTGGCACTTGTTGAGCCGACCTCTCATCTCGCCAGCGGTGTCACTGGACTGTATACACAGCAGTCTTTCTCTTCTCCTTACCTGTTAGTCTTCTGTTTCTCTTTGTATGCTTTGCCAGCGTCTGCTTTTGTAACAATTACACACCGTGGTTTCCAATGAAAGGATTCTGTCAACATTTGGAAAGGTTAGACCTCTCCAGCTACACTGCCACCACCTTCTGTTCAGCCTGCATTTGTCATGCTACCCTGCTGTTAAACACAACCCCTGTCTGTCAGCCAAACAAGCTGAGCTTTAAAGGTCCCCTGAAATGCTTAGAAACACGCAGCGTTACTCTGTGTTGACGTCATTTTTAACTGAAACAGGAAGACTGGGCGGGACATATCAAGCAGCCCCGCCCCTTTTTAAAATAGCCAATAGCGTTCGTTTATATCACAGCTTGGGCTAGAGCCGTTGAGCTCCATAAAGCCGCATTTGACAGGGTATGCCAGCCACAATATCATCCATATTGCTAAAAATATTGAGTTCTGTGTAGAACATACATTTTGTGGTCTGCGCCGACTCGCGCATGTGATCCGCTCTGTGCTATCGTGTCTCTGGACCGGAGCAGAGTGTGTGTGCGGTGCGGTGGTGAGAGTGACACAGCGCGAAACCAAACTTTTTTCCTCAATGGAAAGCATATTTACACTGTTTGAATCCTTCTCTGTCCCCTATATAGTGCACTACGTGCCATTGACTGTACAGAAAATACAAATTCTGTGGACAAGTGACCGATTTCAGCCGCTTTGCTTGTAAGAAGAACCTTTCGGCTCTTTTACCCTCATGTTCTTCAAGACCCCAAGGCCATTTTAATAGCTCAAGAAACATGTTTAGCATTCAAATATCTCCTTGATACTTGGTGGCTTTGTTTGATCTTATTAGAACTTATTATAAGGAACTGAATATAATTTCAACTTGAGAACATTCTTCGAATACATTTTAAAAAAAATATTTTGTCGGTTTAGGGTTCTTGTCAACAAAATAAAAAAATTAACAAAATTTTGGGGAAAAAAAATATAAAAGCGTCTTTGTTTTCTGTTCTGGCAAAGCTAGATTTTCTGCATCATAACTCCAGTCTTCAGTGTCACATGATCCTTCATAAATCATTCTAATATGCTAATTTATTGCTAAAGAAACATTTATTATTATTACTAATGTTGAAAACATTGTGAATTTTTCAAGGATTCTTTGATGAATGGAATATTAAAAGAACAGCATTTTTGACATAGAAATCTTATATATTATTATTATTTATTTATTTTTTTTACATTATAAGTGTCTTAAATGGCACATTAATCAATTTAATGTGTCCTGGCTGAATAAAAGTATTAATTTCTTATGAAAAAAATCCTACTGACAACAGACTTTTGTATGTATATATATATATATATATATATATATATATATATATATATATATATATATATATATATAGATATACTGTATATTGATAATGTATATTTTTTGCACTGTGATATTATATCTGTTTTATTTATAATACAGCGACTTGAAATATTAGAAATGTTTTAATATATGTAGAAATTATCATTAACTAAAATGAATAAATGCCATAAAAGTATTTTTCATTGTTAGTTTGGGCTTCCTAATGCTTTAAGTAATGATAACTAATTGAAACTGAACCAAGTTTCAGTAATATCTTTCTACATGATTTAATTAGGTAACATAAGCATTTAAAAGAATTTGAAGGAAAAATAAGATATTAATTTTGAAATTACTAGTATTATTTTGAGGCACTGCACATCACTGAGACTAAACATATAGACAGTCACTCAAAAAACACAAGGTTTAAGCTCACTGTAAAAAATGAAACGAGCTATTTACTTAAAAAAAAAATTATGGTAAAAATAGTTTTTCCAGGCTTGATTTTTTTAATGGAATCTACCTGAATAAATCATGTGAAATCTCCTAAATTAATCTATGACGCAATGAATTTAATATAATTAGTGAAATGTGCTCATTTATTTTAAGTTGATTCTCAAAAGTCTGTGATTTTGAGTGAGGTCTGTTTGTATTTGACTTTGAGTTATTTTGTACATTTAAAAGACTGTATACAGCCAAACAGCTCAAGTAGGAAAATACTTGAGAAATACTGGAAAGTACTGCACTAGCATTAGCAAAGCTACTGCTCATTGAACAAGGCTAATGGTAAAAATAGTTTTTCCAGGTTTGATTTTTTTAATGGAATCTACCTGAATAAATCATGTGAAATCTCCTAAATTAATCTATGACGCAATGAATTTAATATAATTAGTGAAATGTGCTCATTTATTTTAAGTTGATTCTCAAAAGTCTGTGATTTTGAGTGAGGTCTGTTTGTATTTGACTTTGAGTTATTTTGTACATTTAAAAGACTGTATACAGCCAAACAGCTCAAGTAGGAAAATACTTGAGAAATACTGGAAAGTACTGCACTAGCATTAGCAAAGCTACTGCTCATTGAACAAGGCTTAATGCCTTAGAGGAGTAGTATCCATAACCATAAGCTCTACTCTTCTGCACAATGGTAACGATTGCACTGAGCAATCCTTCACTCAAGATGTTTCCCTTCACTCAAAAATTTCAAAAATTACTCTCCATATCCAGCCATATGCAAAGCATGCTGGGAACTAACAATCACCTCTAAAATAAAACTGCAAAATTGATCTAATTCTCTTAAAATAAATAGGTAGCCTTCTTTCCTTAATTTTTTTTAGTTTAATCAGTTCCTCAATTCAAGCCCCAAAACTAGTTTCCTTTAAAAAAAATGAGGAAAACACATCTCTTGGTTTTATTAGTAAAAAGTCCTCAATTATTTCTATACAACACTGAATCACAATTTCTTTAATGAAATATACACAATAATTTTAATTATCACCTTAATTTTTTTAATGAAAATTACAAGACCCATGATTCATTTTTTGCAGTGCTGCTTTTATGAACCTCTCACAAAAATATTCAAACCTAACGTATGTGGTTCATATGTTAGTTCATGGACTTATTTTTATGATAAGATGCTTTCATTATGAGGTGTTGTCTTAGAAATAGAACCAATACAGGGCAAACATACTTGCTTCCTAGAATGCATATGAATCCAAGAATGGCTTTCTGAGCCAATTTGCTACTTGTCATCTCAGCAGCACACATATCTCCAGCGATGGAAGTTTTATATAAATATTGCTGGCAAGCTGTGATGTGATTATGCCATCCATCTTGCCGTGTTTGACTGTTCAATTCGCTTTCCCCTGATTATTGAAAAAAAAATAAACAAGTATGCAATACAATATCTCTGAGGAAAGAAAATTTTTTTTGGACTGTCAGAGTTTACGGCTGGATCTCTGGCAGGTAGATTAATCCTATCGCCTACATTGTTACACATCCAAGCAAATCCTCCAGCAATTAGAGACTCTCATTCAGGTGGAAGAGAGGATGCAGAGACAGCAGGCCCAAGGCAAAGCGACAGCAAGCGTGCTGCCCATGGCAGGTTGTGCTCCACAGGTATTGGGTGAAATGAGACTACGGCAACATTAGATCTGGGTCACATTGAACATTAAAGGGATAGTTCACCCAAAATTGAAAATTCTGTCATTAATTACGGCCTTCGTTCATCTTCGGAACACAAATTGACATATTTTTGATGCATTTCAAGAGCTCTCTGACCCTCCAATAGACAGCAAGGATCCTAACACGATCAAGGCTCAGAAATGTAGCAAGGAGATCGTTAAAATAATCCATGTGACATCAGTGGTTCAACCGTAATTTTACGAAGCTATGAGAATACTTTTTATAACGACTTTATTCAACAATTCATCTCCTCCCTATAGCGCTATTATGGAGAGTATCATATATGTAAACAACGTATGCAACGTATGTACGCGAATACGTTGTTTACGTTCAGATCAAAGCGTATCTGCGTACATACGTTGCGTATCTCATAGCTTACATGCGTATCTCATAGCTTCGTAAAATTACGGTTGAACCACTGATGTCACATGGATTATTTTAACGATCTCCTTGCTACGTTTCTGAGCCTTGATCGTGTTAGGATCCTTGCTGTCTATGGGATGGTCAGAGAGCTCTTGGAATGCATCAAAAATATCTTAATTTGTGTTCCGAAGATAAACTAAGGTCTTACAGGTTTGGAACGACATGAGGGTGAGTAATTAATGACAGAATTTTCATTTTTGGGTGAACTATCCCTTTAACAACAGGCTGCTGGTTTCATGCGAACATACATGATTTGGTTCATAATGGCCTTTAGCATGCACAATGCATGCACTTGACCTCTTGCAGGTCATTGTGAACTAAATCATGTACGTGTCTTGACTAACAAATGTGTTTTTATGTCTGTATACACAACATTGTGTATTACGTATTGCATTATTATTACAATAATAGAATATAAAGTTATATTAATGATGTGCTCACCTGTTTTGAGCCCATTTAATCACTGCAAGCTGAATGAACACAATAAAAGAAATGGCAAAAACTGCACTAATAATTAGCTGTTTTTTATTCCTATTTTTCCGGTGTGTTCTTTGATTTTCTGGATACCTTGTTTTCATTTTATCACATCACAAAAAAGTGCCTTTTTCTGTGTTTTTTTTCACCACATTGCCGACCACACCCTCAAGGTCAGAAGAGTTCACTTACACATGGCTGCACATTTGATGGCACTTCTGTCATGGTCACATTGTTTTCCTTTCTTCTCCAGGCGGTATTCGATGTGGACAAGGACAAAGGTTTAACCCTGATTGAGGTTTGGGAGGGTCTGATACCAGATGACATTAAGAAATGCACAGGGACTGACTTTGAGGTGAATGACACAATTGAATTACAGAAACACGTAATAATATTGAACACTTTGCACCATACTGTATGCACTATAGCCTACTATGACATTTCACAACACACAAAACCCTCTAATATTTGCTTGAATGAAAACTAACAGCATTAGCTAGAATACAAGGTCATAATATTGACTTCTGCTTATTTTCCTGTTGTTGTTTTTTTTTTGTCCTAACAGGTCTCTCCTAACTTGAAACCAATGCAGCAAATTTAACGATTTTAGAAAAATGCTTAAGGCTGTTTAGACAGCTGATGGAAACCACACACTTGTTAAATCCCCCATGCAAATCCTTTTAGGGCTTCAACTGAGGAAATTTCACTGAAGCATGTTTAAAACAACAAATATCCAACAAGGTCATCACAGTATCTTCAAATGTAGCAAGGAGATCGTTAAAATAATCCATGTGACATCAGTGGTTCAACCGTAATTTTACGAAGCTATGAGAATACTTTTTATAACGACTTTATTCAACAATTCATCTCCTCCCTATAGCGCTATTATGGAGAGTATCATATATGTAAACAACGTATGCAACGTATGTACGCGAATACGTTGTTTACGTTCAGATCAAAGCGTATCTGCGTACATACGTTGCGTATCTCATAGCTTACATGCGTATCTCATAGCTTCGTAAAATTACGGTTGAACCACTGATGTCACATGGATTATTTTAACGATCTCCTTGCTACGTTTCTGAGCCTTGATCGTGTTAGGATCCTTGCTGTCTATGGGATGGTCAGAGAGCTCTTGGAATGCATCAAAAATATCTTAATTTGTGTTCCGAAGATAAACTAAGGTCTTACAGGTTTGGAACGACATGAGGGTGAGTAATTAATGACAGAATTTTCATTTTTGGGTGAACTATCCCTTTAACAACAGGCTGCTGGTTTCATGCGAACATACATGATTTGGTTCATAATGGCCTTTAGCATGCACAATGCATGCACTTGACCTCTTGCAGGTCATTGTGAACTAAATCATGTACGTGTCTTGACTAACAAATGTGTTTTTATGTCTGTATACACAACATTGTGTATTACGTATTGCATTATTATTACAATAATAGAATATAAAGTTATATTAATGATGTGCTCACCTGTTTTGAGCCCATTTAATCACTGCAAGCTGAATGAACACAATAAAAGAAATGGCAAAAACTGCACTAATAATTAGCTGTTTTTTATTCCTATTTTTCCGGTGTGTTCTTTGATTTTCTGGATACCTTGTTTTCATTTTATCACATCACAAAAAAGTGCCTTTTTCTGTGTTTTTTTTCACCACATTGCCGACCACACCCTCAAGGTCAGAAGAGTTCACTTACACATGGCTGCACATTTGATGGCACTTCTGTCATGGTCACATTGTTTTCCTTTCTTCTCCAGGCGGTATTCGATGTGGACAAGGACAAAGGTTTAACCCTGATTGAGGTTTGGGAGGGTCTGATACCAGATGACATTAAGAAATGCACAGGGACTGACTTTGAGGTGAATGACACAATTGAATTACAGAAACACGTAATAATATTGAACACTTTGCACCATACTGTATGCACTATAGCCTACTATGACATTTCACAACACACAAAACCCTCTAATATTTGCTTGAATGAAAACTAACAGCATTAGCTAGAATACAAGGTCATAATATTGACTTCTGCTTATTTTCCTGTTGTTGTTTTTTTTTTGTCCTAACAGGTCTCTCCTAACTTGAAACCAATGCAGCAAATTTAACGATTTTAGAAAAATGCTTAAGGCTGTTTAGACAGCTGATGGAAACCACACACTTGTTAAATCCCCCATGCAAATCCTTTTAGGGCTTCAACTGAGGAAATTTCACTGAAGCATGTTTAAAACAACAAATATCCAACAAGGTCATCACAGTATCTTCATCTGTTTCAGTGATTTCCATGAATGTGCAATAGCCTGAATGGTTGTTTTAGCTTATCAATATCAGTTTATTCAAATGCAAATTCAAATGGATTTGTTAGAATGTCAATAGGTATTGAATAGAAAATACTGTCAATAGGTTAAACGGGAAGTATTGTGTTTATTTTAAAAAGAACAGTCAGTTATTTCATATTTAGATTTTCCATTTGCCCATCTAATTTAACTTTACAGGTCGGAGGTCTTAAATGTTCTGTCTACAATGTGTACATATTATTTGTACAAAGCAATAAATGTGTATTCAAGACCTGAGCAAAAAAACGTCTTAATTGTGTTTTTATATCCATTAACTTCTTCTAAATCCTTATATGTGACCCTGGACCACAAAACCAGTCATAACGGTCTTTTTAAAAAAAATTTAATTGAGCAACTGAACTGAATAAATAAGCATTCCATTGATGTAGCCTATGGTTTGTTCGGATACAACTGAGATACAACTATTTGAAAACCTGGAATCTGAGGGTGCAAAAGAATTCAAAATATTGAGAAAATCACCTTTAAAGTTGTCCAAATTAAGTCCTTAGCAATGCATATTACTAGTTTTTATATTTTTTTGGTAGGAATTTGACAAAATATCTTCATGGAACATGATCTTTACTTAATATCCTAATGATTTTTGGCATAAAAGAAAAATCGATCATTTTGACCCATACAATGTATTGTTGGCTATTGCTACAAATATACCCTGCTTCTTGTGGTCCAGGGTCAAATATCATTCAAGCTGTGTGACTGAATTTTGTCAGTGGAACACAAAAGGTGATGTTAGAGACTTGAGAATGTTAGAGACTTACAGCCACTATACTTTCACTGTATCTTTTCTTCAAACAGCCTAATGAAAGCGAATGGTCACCGAGACTGTCATTCTGACTAAGATCTCCTTTTAAATGGATATTTGTACAGTGTTATCAAATTCTTTGAGAATATTTATGGAAGCTCGGTAATTTAAGCCTGTTGTTTTTTCATTTGTGATGCATCTGTTTACACAAACAACCGTTTGTTCTTAACGCCACTTCACAATTCAGACTTATGAAAATACACAGCGACCGTGTTAATATCCAGCGTGAAAGGTTGAGTGTGTACTGCACAAACAGTAATTGTTCGATAACATCAAATGAATTAATAGAATCCGCGCGCGCGCTGGAGTCTATAGTGGCGCCCACACCCAGCACACACATGGGAGGGAATAATTTAGACGACAAATATGCAACGAGCTTCTGTATGTTTGTAAAGACGCTGTTCCAGAAGGCTGGGGAAATTGTGAAGTAGGAGCGGCGCGCGCCGGCTCGGGGGTGTGGTGATGCTTGCGCTGTGAACTCGCGCGGGCGCTGAATACTAGAGCACTCCGAGCGAAGCACGGACACCGAACGCCACAGAACCACAGAACCGACGGCATGGCTTCGTCTCAGGGGAAGAGTGAACTCCGTTATGCGGACTGGATGTCAAGTTTACCGGACAACTTGCACAGTATCCCTCTTACCAACCTCGCCATACCAGGTAAGCATTATTTTGCCTTTTAATGCGCGTATTGTGCTAACTGTGGACAGTGAGAAACTGCTGCAGATTATATATAAATGAGTGTGGTCTGGTTTTGAAATGACTTAACTGACCGTTTCAAAAGTTTTTTAGTACTATTTTTATCAACTCTTGTTCAAAACGCACATTGCGCTGAGAGGTCACCCAAACGTAGCCTACATAAAATGGGTTCTGCTTATGACATAAGCTATTGTGTGACTAATAGCTTGTCTACATTAATATTGCTCCAATCTAGCGAGTTTATAATAATGTTAAAACGTGTGACAGAAATTAAATAGGACACTTGGAACCACAATGTAGTTGGATGAGCAGTAAAATAAAAATATAAATACTAGTGAAGTGAAGAATAATTGCTGTCACTTTTTTGACCTTACCCAACAATATTCACAAAAACTCTAAACGCCTTATGAACAAGTAATAATTACCCCCCCCCCCAAAAAAAAACCAGGAGAAATCTAGCATTACTTGGTCACCAATGGATTTTCTGCAGTGAATGGGTTCTGTCAGAACGAGAGTCCAACCAACCAGCTGATTAAAAACATCACAATAATCCACAAGGGTTAGTAAAATTTCAGCAAATTTCCGTTTTTGGGTGAACTGTTCCTTTAAACTTTCAGGTAGTCTTCACACAATGCTTAACCCCGGGTAAGCCTAGGGTTAAACAACATTTCAGGAGGGTAGTACAGCTTTTATTAGAGAACAGGGTTATTTTTAGCCCCAAACTACAATGCCAAATAAATACACATGAATTACTTACCCAAGGTAAAGTATGAACAAACATAAAACAAGATGACCCAGGATTACATTATTATTATTTCATATCTGAAAAGCACAGTTTTTACCTACTGCTTTTAAATGGCTTTTTATGGCCTATATAGTTCAGAATGTTTCTGAAAGTAAGAGGTTTTGTGTTTTTTATAGTTTAGTTTGGGTAGTTGAACTGCACCAAAGGCTGAAGCAATCAGCCGTCCCGGACAGCTCTGATTAAAACCCCCGATTAACGTCTATATCACTGATTTTGACCCTGTGCCACAGGGACCAATTAACTGGCCTGCCACCTCCAAATCATCTTGTTAATCATCATTTACAGATTCTGATTTCTTGATGTAAGTGCTCTGACTTCAACATACAGTAAATGCAAACTAAATTGAACGATTTTCATGGACGTCTGCAGTGGAAAAGATCACATCATGCCACCGATGCTGGTCTGTGCAGGATTCATCATTCCAGCAGTAGTATAGAAGCAGTAGCCTACTTAAGGACAACTTGACCCACTGCCATCATCACTCTTTTGTAAAACCTTTGTAAAACAGTGTTGTCGGCGAAGCTGTGTGTGGGTGATGGAAAGTTGTAGTGTAGCAGTGGTTTATCAAAAAGCTCTAAACGAATTAAGGCTTCAGTAAGAATTCTGGACATGTACCACTCCCACACAGATATCTTGCAAATCTGGGAGCTTTTGAGTTGGTCTTACCATGTGTGGTTAACATTAAGACAACCAAAAATGATCCATTAAAATGTAAGCATCCTGCCCAGGGGCTTGTATGCAACTGACACTGTATGAAAAAGTATATATCTGTCTATCCATCTATCCTTGTATCCATCCATTCAATTATTGTAGAAATGCATTTATCATCTGCAACTGTGAAAGCTTTTGAACGTCCGTCCATTCATCCATTTTTGACCCTTTGTTAGTCAAGTCTGATTTTGCTTAAGCCACTGGTAATAGAGTAGGCCTATGTTTTTCAGTTTAATTGTACAAAGATATAATTAGAGAAAGCAATATTCATTTTAGCTCCTCAAGATCAATTCCGAAAAGATAATCATTGATCTTTCGCCTTTGTCTCATGCATATTTCAGTAATGCTCTATTCCAGCCTGAGGCACTTTTGCTCTCATGCTGTCATATTGTCAGGCTGCTGGAGGTTTGCATGATTCTCCAGAAAAATAATATTTTTGTTTTTTCAAATTTTGCATAATGCACTTTGTTTTACTTTGTAAGTCTATATTAAAGACACCTTTAAACTAGAATCGATCTATTTACTTAATGTATGTTCCTTGTTTTCTGTGTTATGCTGGTGTTATTCTAGTGCATGTTATTCCCATGGAAATAAAAAACAAAATCTTTATTAAAACCATAAACCAAACCAACCAGCTACACTGTAAATCACAATGATACAATTTTGTATATTAAGCATAATTGGATAAAAAGACAAAGATACAAGACTGCATTTAACAGCTTTAATCAAGGAACAAACTACCCAAGAAGCATTACGAATTAAATAATTGAATTCAAAAACAAAGAAGAACTATGACTATTGATTTAAAGGTTGGATTTAAACAGTAGACTTTGTTTATTGCAAAATATGAATATATACTTGGTATATACATAGTTTGAGAAGATAGGGAAACTAACTATTATTTGGGGTGCTTCCTGGAAGTGGGCAGAATTCTTTTGGTGTCATTTGCTTGCCGTGAGTCTCTGATTGGTGGAGATTTATGTACAGAATCATGGATAATGTAGTTTTTCTCCAAGAATTCTATTGTTTAATGTGATTATTTAAAATAAGTTTTTGATGCTATGGCTTCAACAAAATCATACCATTAACAACCTCGTAGTTCACAGTAGGTCTGTCTTTACAAGTTATGATTAAAATCAAATTCCTCTATAGAGAAAATGAATGTGATTTTTACTTCCAGAACCCGACTAATGCACTCTATAACTCACTTTTGGTCTGCCTCCATTTTGGTATGTAGCATTCACTTTTCACAATCCAATCAATTTTAGGGTGAAATCAAATCTTACTCTACATTTTCTTGGAAATGCATCATACAAGTAAAGCTTAAACTTTCTAATTTCTAATAGCAATTCCTTCCTATACAATCATTTTAGAAAGCCATCTGCTTCCAACGTGTTATAGGCCCTGATATTTTTAAGCACTGCCACTCAAAAACTGGCTCTGCCACCTCCTGCGGCGTGAAGGTCAATGTTTGCACTAAGTGAATCTAGTGTGTCTTTTATTTCCACTATCAGAACTCTTTTTATAGTCATTCCAAATTAAAGAGGCTCAAGAAATCATTGTAGCCTCTCAAACCTCTCTCTAAGATTAAAGATTTGACTGATCCTCCTGTTGCAACTCAACATTGTTTACTTGCAGCATCAGTATTGGCAGTATTTTGGAGGTTGGCTAGTCGTCCTCCACATACACACTTGCAAAAACATGAATCATTCTCCTATTGGCAAACAAGTCCCCGGGCGGGCAGACATAAAGTGTACCATTACTGAACTGAATAGATATTCTATACATTTATCCCTTTGTTGTGGACATTGAACAGTGTTTATGTACATAAAAAACCTGCATGCCTCTGCTAAGCGTCTTAGAAAAAGGCCTTTTTTTTGCAGAGGCGGGCTTTTGTGTGGCTCTTATACTACTGTGCTCTGCTGGATGGCTGGCTTGATGAATCCATCTCCCCGATACAGTCACCATTGTAACCTGCACAGGTGGCAGGACCGGGGCAGAGGAATTGTGTCAGTGCTGAGGGCGCCTGTGCTGAAGTGACAACCCCAAAGAATAAGCAGGACACCACTGCTTTATCAGCCACCTGTGCTTTGAAAATGCGCTGGGTGTTGCAGTTCAGAGACAGACATGGAACCAGGGCTTATTAGGTTTTATGGAGAGCCATAATTGATATTCATGCTACGGCTCTCATAAGGGAATGTGTCTCTGCCCCTTAATCATATTTAGTATGTAATCAGCTTTTGAGTGGCAGCCAATGACAGACACTGTAGAAACAGAAAAATCTGTGGGTTGTGAGTGTTTTGCATTTTTTTTATATATGCCATACAAATGTACAACTTTATTTTCTGCTATGTATTAAACATGGCAAATTTTGCTGATTTAAAGCAACATTATACGAGTTGTGAGAATTTTTCATGTTTACTAAAGACATATTCCTGTGATTTTTGGTCACATGATCCTTCAGAAATCATTCTAATATATGCTGATTTGCTGCTTAAGAAACATTTTGTATTATCATCAGGGTTGAAAACAGTTGTGCTGCTCAATTTTTGTGGAAGTGGTGATGCTATTTTCAAGATTCTTTCAAAAATTAAAAAAAGTTCAAAAGAACAGCTTTTAATTAAAAAATAAATCTTTTGTGACATTGCAAATAAATTTACTTGTAACGTTTCAATGTATATGTATGGAATAAACGTATAATAATGATGGTATATACAAAAGCATTTAAAATAGTTTGTGAAAAAAGCTTTTATGGATTTATACTATCAGTGGAAACTTGCAATTTATATATTATTTATAAATAATATAATATATTTCATAATATATTGCTAAAAATAAAACGTTGAAACACTTTATCAGGGTTGAAAACAGTTGTGCTGCTCAATTTTTGTGGAAGTGGTGATGCTATTTTCAAGATTCTTTCAAAAATTAAAAAAGTTAAAAAGAACAGCTTTTAATAAAAAAATAAATCTTTTGTGACATTGCAAATAAATTTACTTGTAACGTTTCAATGTATATGTATGGAATAAACGTATAATAATGATGGTATAGACAAAAGCATTTACCATTAATTACCAAAAGCATAGTTCACAGTACGTCTGTCTTTAACAGTTAAGTTATTGTTAAAATAGTAGTAAAAAGTCCATGTTAAAAAATTCTTACTGACCCCAAACTTTTGAACTGTAGGCTACTTTATCTAGATTCAGATTTGATAGCATTATTGTTGAATGATAGTGGTAAAAGCATCAATAAGAGTCAGCAATGTTTTGCATCATATGCCATCATTTTCTTTGTAAAATAGTTTGTGAAAAAAGCTTTTATGGATTTATACTATCAGTGGAAACTTGCAATTTATATATTATTTATAAATAATATAATATATTTCATAATATATTGCTAAAAATAAAACGTTGAAACACTTTTTTGTTGTATGAACTATAAAGAT